TTTCTTGTACTTTAAGTGTGGTAATTTTATTTATTACATATATCACAAAGAACACTAACTAGCTTTATTAACCCTTTGACTGTCGCAACCCCCAATCCTGAGGTGTCTCCTGGTGTCACAAAATTAAAAAAAAAAAAAAAAAAAAAATTATTCTTTCTTATGAAATGATAATCTTTTCCCAATTGTAATGACACCAAAAAAAACGAAATTTGATTGAAAACTGATGGGATTATGCTCTCGCGAAGTTAGCGACCTCGGCGATATTTATAAATCGGCGATTTTGCCCACTTTGATCCCTGTTTTTGGCTAATTCCATTGTTCCAGTCGATCAAACTCATAGCTATTTCTTTAGAACTCCATTTTTTTCTATCGACTGAGTACAAGAAACTGCCCATTTACTGATTTCAACTACCTAATAACGTGGTCAGAAATTTGAAATTTGGGCAATTTAACGAAAATAAAAAAATGTGACAATTTCAAAATAAGGTCCAGAATGAACAATGCAGACATTCCTGGTTCTAAAATAACATTTTCTTTGTTCATCAGTCATGTCTCCAGGCCTCTCTGATATTACTCTTGCTTTCTATTTTGAATTTTTATTCAAACAAAAAATAGAAGATTTACTGTTATGCAGACTACTGCAATATTGTAATAACTGTACAAATAATGTCAACCCATTCATGACTGCATATTAGAATGGCTAGTTGGACATTTATTGGACAATGACATCATTTGTTTACTTTTGAACATCAGCAAAAATCAAACATTTACCCTACTTTGAGCTCCATTTCAAGGTTCTTTTTATAGTAAAACCAATCAAAATCACCTCTATTTCTATAATATGTTTTCCATTCTATCAAAAGAGACCAAGAAAACGAGAATACAACCATAAATACCATACAAAAATAGACCACAAATTCGGCATTTTAATTAAAAAAACGGTCACTTTTTTTTCTCATTATGAACTGCATGCTCCAGGGTCTTTTTTATATGGTGCACACTGACCACACAGACCCATTCTCTCACATGTGGACCTACCAGCTTTCTCCTGCTTGATTTGAAGCCGCTAGAATTTGAGTATATATACGTCAAACACTGTACCTTGTTAGACGTATATATACGGCCGAAACAGTCAAAGGGTTAATGGGTCTTTTCACAAAGATAATCAGTTACTTAAGCTTTAAGAAACTTAATTCCTGTAACTATTCAGCTGTGAGTGCAGAAACTGGACAACCATTAGAAAAACAGTTTTTCATATGAGTTACAAAATTATAATTAAAGCCAAATTTTTCATTTGGGTTTGTAGGGGAAATAGATGCGTAATGAGTCAAGCTGGTGAAATACAGGAAACTTTTTATCAGTATTTAGTACTGTATATAAAAATGTCCTTAAAGCTTTTACTGGGTGTTGCCCATGTGAACCATTCTACTTTTTCTACCACTCTGCATAGAAAAACTTTGTTTTCTGAAGCTCTTGTTTCTTAGTTTGTGGTTATGGGCTGGTGTGCTAGTTGGTGGTGTTACATGCCTTCCTTGTTAGTTCTTTGTAACTTTAAATTCATAATGTGATTATCAGTTCAACTCTTTTTTCCACCTACGGGCAAAGAGACATTCTTGTATAAATTGCCAGTGTTAGCTACTCCCTTTCAATGTTGCTGTAGTTTTTAGATTACCACATTGTAAGTAGGGAAATACATAATTATACTTTAAAAATGTAGTTTTTGCTCCTCTGTGGATGTGTATACTGTATATATATTTGTGTAAAATTATTAATAAATGTATGTATTTATATATATATATAATATATATATATATAATATAGTTATATATATATATATATATATATATATATTATATATATATTATATAAAATATATAATATATATATATATATATATAATCACATTATATACATTTATTTATTTATTTACACATACAGTACATACAATCTGTACATGTAATTACTGTATTTGTTTGTCATTTGTTTAGTTGTATATTGATGTAGTAATTCAAATGTGGAATAAGGCACACATAGCTAAGTGGCCCTTGAAATGCTTTAGTTTAGTTCAGTGTTTTGACAACTGAAAAACAGCTTTCTGTTCAGGTTTCAGTGAACTACTAAGAATGCAACGAATAAGTATTACCTCCTGATCATCAGTTTAGAACTTCCCTACCACTTTCTAGCTCAGTCCTCTTTCACCTTTTTTTTTTTTTTTTTTTTATCGGGAATACTGTACCTGTTTTGTATGCCATTGTCTGGTCTACCCTTGTGATAGCAGCCAGCCATAACAGCCCGAGTTGGAACATCTGACACTTGGAAGTGGCAGTAGTCATGGTTCATCGAATCCCCACACAGATAACAGCTGTTTATTCTTGAAAATATTATGCTGGACTCTGTGTATGGGGTTCTGATGAACCACTAAGAATCTTACCACCAGCATCTAAATAACTGTTGAAGCATTTGTAGCTGGAAACTGGGAAACTTGAAACGCTTTAATGCTGAGACAAACTCTTAATCTGTTAACTGGGAATTTGAAGACCTTGTGATTATTTTCTTATCCAGGATGTGAGTGCAAAAGACTTCAACTGAGTCCTGCAACCTAAGGAAAAGTTCTGATATAATTAATGTATACCCAGTAATGCAAATTTCAAAGTTTCTTAATGATAGGCACATGCCTAGTTCTATCATATGTACATTATATGTGAAAGCCACCAGTGCCATGATTTACAGAACCATTTATGTATACATACTACATAGTGTGATAACCTTCCCCCATCCTGGTACAGTTGTAATGTATTACAATGTAACTATTATGTCAAAATCATGGTATAGTACTTCCATCCATGACTTAGCATGATCTGTAATGGTCTAGGTTATGCCACGTTGAATGCTCAGGGGATAAGTAAATTTTTCATTGGTTACCAGATAATTCTGATACCCACTCAGTGTCAGCCAATACATGATACCCAGTATGGGGAGGAGATGTGTGAACTGTAATTGTTAGCCAGTACAGTGTACATGCTAAATGTAAGAATTGTAAGGAAATGACTCCAAGGTTTGAATTTCTTTGGGAAATTGTAATCTGTTTTAATCCTCTAAAAATCTAGATCTGACTACCAGAATGGCATAAACCTTATTATATGCTATGTTGGTATCCTACAGTAGCAGTCTAAGAGATTAAAGAACTGAATTTACATAATGGTGGGTGAAAATGGACATAATTGGCTGAATAGCTTTTATAATAAGTTCCAGAGGTATGTTTATTGCCACTGTCAAAGAGCCAGACATTCTTTTGGTGTCATGGATTCAACATATGGGTGATCTCCAGCTTTGATAACATATATTTACACAATAACTTTTTTACCCAAGAGAAAAGGCTCCATGTTTTCATACTGAGACCAGAAACTGAATTTATTAAAGAATCCCTTAAAGAATACTTTAATGCTGTAGAGGAGCAAAGCAAGGAAGCATTTCACAAGTCCAAATTCACAGCATAATCAGGAATTTTACATGCCCTGATGTTTTATGTATCATTTGTAGCATACCTACTGTTGTGCTAGAAATGATGGCAAAGGGAAATAACTTTTTCTTTGCAATACATAGGTTGTGGTTCTTGAATTTGGTAAAGCACTGTATATATTATTTATAATGACCTTTCTAGAACCCTTACACAGTCAGTCTTTCTCAATAATATTGTCTATATTGATTGAAATACCCAAATGATATGTCATAAGAGCTCTAGTGTACTCTCATAAGCTTCTTTAGTAATCACTCTTGTATTTGTATGCATGTACTACCATACCTATATGAAACTTTTTGGCAACTATGAACTGAGAGATTCTTTATGTGGAATTTTTCTCTCCTTCAAGAATAGGTTGAGAACCTTCAACATATATTCATTCATAGTATCTCAACAATACCACTTCTGTGGCATTGGGGAATAACATGAAAGATGGCCTGCTAGAGGAAGAAGATAGCAAATGAATGTTTTATACATTGAAAAACGTATGAACTTTATAGCAGGTACATGGTTCAGGACCATCAGTTGACTGTAGAATCATGCATAGGGTAAAATGAAAACATAAGCAGGACCTACTAAAAGTTGTACTGTATTGTATTTAGTTGGCAGACCAAACTCATAGAATATCAAGCATTGTGGGGTCAGACCTGACAGCAGCATAGAAAATTGGTTATTCTTGACAGGGAACAAGTGAAAGGGGTTAATTCAGCTAGAAAGTAATAGACAGGCCCTAAGCTGGTGGATTAGGATATAAAATAGATAGGTTGTATTCATAATGGTTCATCAGAACCCAATACCCAGAAAGAATGATAATGAATTTAAATAAAAATTCAAAATTAATTATTGAGTTTTATAGTTTGCCAAATATTTAGTGACATTAATTATTAGTAGCACCAAGTCATAGTTTGTACAGTGTGAAATCAGATTGAGGATATGAATTAAGAGAATTGTTGAATGGGAAAAGCTAGAAATTCTTTGTATTCTAGGTCTTTAAATTTGTACACTTGTGTGTATATACACGTGAGTATATGGACACTTTTCTATCTTGTGTACAACTACTACAGTGATATTGTCCTCCTCACTCTGGGGTGTTATTTCAAGTCATATAAACTTTGATCATACGTAGTTACTTTTTTTGTAAATCTGGTTGTAGCTGATTAGCAAATGTTTTTGCCTCATGAAATTTAGTCACCATTATTAGAAAACTGTAGTGATGTATCTATAAACGTACTGTACACATTGTAGTATTAAAGGGTTAAATTTATGGATGGAACTTTTTGTTTTGCCAGGCATCCAGGATCAAAATTTAATCCTATGGATCTAGCTGGAGTTCAGACAAATGTCATGGTCTCCAGGTGGACAGAAAAAGAATTAATGGTCGTACATGGTCCTACATGAACACTCATGTAGTGAGTAGTCAAATGATCTTAGTCTTTCCACCAAATGTATTATAATTTTATAATGCTTTTTTTTTGTCAAGGTCATAAAAGTCAATATTGTGAGCCAGTGTGTAATTGGCAAGAAGTCATTGCAGGATGAGCGTTCACGTCTGATGCGGAGAACTGTCATGCGCTACGTCAATCTTACTGAACTCATCACGCTTATCATGATCAGTCCCACTGTCAAGAAGCGGTTCCCTACCCTTGATCACGTGGTTGAAGCAGGTAACACTAGAAAACTGGGATGACATTCTAAGAGAATGTTGACTATATTGAACAAATCATGAGGATTTTTATCCTTTGCTAAAGTTTTAGTGACACCTTATTCAAACAATGAAAAAGAAGAGGCATAATTGTTGCAAAAGATATAAATTGGCATCTTTGAATCTACTAAATAGGTGTATATGGTGAAGGATGAATTGTAACTGATTTCATATGCACCATGTTCTTGAACATAAACACATTCAGCTAAATCCTACTGATGCATACTAAGGATATACTGCTAAAATGATTAAACAAAAGAGTGAACAAACAGCTGCTCAAATGTTTCTTGTAATGAAGTGAAGGTAGTTTTATTTTTTTTTATGGTGTATGAGATACAGTTAATACTTTGCATTATTAAGAGCATGATTAATAATGCTGAATTCTATCCCAAGTTTTTTTTTGTAGAATTTTTCAAGTAATTGAGTTCAGTCTCATATATACTATTTATCATCTGATATATATTTATTTATTATTATTGTCTTTGTAATTACAGTATTTAAGATATTTTATTATTTTACTTTAATCTCTAAATACAGCACAGTACTATTATTTTGCACATTCATTAGTAATAATGCACTAAATATCTTTAAAATTTGGCCATTTTTGAAAAGGTTGTCACATTCTTCCATTAATATTTTATATTGTAGTATAGATTTGTTAAGTTTCTCTTTTTTGTCCATCCATATGTTTGATACTTTGTTCATTTTTTGATAGCATTTACCCCTTGCTTGTACCATAGACCAAAATGTTGGAGGATTAGGGATTTTGAACAAGCAAAGATGTTAAAAAAATTAATGCAGATAGAAAAAGCCAAGACATTTTTGACATAGAGGAAGATTTCATATGTGCATATAATGTTGTTCTTTCCATATGGCATCTATTGTTTTATTTATATATGTCATTTATAGTTCTTGTTAATTAAGTCCTTGGTTTCTAAATCCATATTGCTATCACTTTAACTTTCCAATTAGTTTTTTAGGAATGTTTCCGAGTTAGTGCAGTATGGACCCTCCCCTTTCTGTCTTGGCAAAATATTAATTCTTCTTTTGTAGGAACCTGTCTCCTATCTCCTATTCCAGTAGGAACTCACCCTCTTTGTCATTTAGTAGAAACCCTCTATAGTATATCCCTTAGTCCAGTAGAAACCTTCCCTTCATCAAGGAGTAAATTAAATTATATGTTGTGTATATTGAATTGAATGCTTCTTTATTTAGACTTTAAAATACCATTTTTATGATGCTGTTTTTGGCATATGGCATCAGTGTTATTTCATGTGTGTACTTCTGAGGCTAGGTTGTGTCTGAGGTTGACACCCAGAGTTTGCTCATTTTTTTATTTTTGTAAGCTGCTCTCTATTCAAGTTGTACAGTGTATTTGGTCTTGTTGCACCTTCACCTATTTTTTTTTTTAATCTTTTTTGCACATGAACTTTATTGGGATTGTCACTTTTCTTGATACTCCTGTAATTGGTCATAATCATTTAGCAGTCCTTGTTTCTTTGGATTTTCCTGTTTGCAGATGGTGTCTACATTTCTTAACAAAATTCATCTGTTGACCTATTAAACCATTTAATGGTGGGTTCAGCCCACCATTAAATGGACTGTGGAAGGGAGGAAAAGATTAGGTCTTAATCTCATCCTTGACACTTCTAAGTTACCACAAACTAAATTCTGACCATGTGTCGAGGCAAGGAGCTGATAACCTTCACTCGGAAAGGTAGATTTAATCTATAGCACTTCCTCGCTTTGTTCACCATTTTGAATTTTGGGATTTATGCATCTTTTATTTGTATTCTTTCCTCCTCCAATAAATGTTGTCCAATTGCTCCTTTGACCCAGCATGCTACATTTTCAAACACTTACCTTGAACCTGGTGAGATAAATAGTAAGGAGTAAGTTATCCTTAATCTCATCCTTATTTATTCACCACAATGCTTCTACATGTCGAGGCAGTGTTGAAACTTTCGAATTTGTTTATCTATAGCCTATTTGTTTGTTTATTTAATTTTTGGATATTATGACTTTTTTGAATTCCTCCAATAAAGTTGTCCATATGCTCTTTGACCGACTTATACAGTAGTAATCAACACCTTGACGGGAGAAAATAGACGAGTTGTATCCTTTCATATTTTTATATTCACCCATTGAAACTACATTACTCTTGTTAAATCATATTTTTTCCTCCAAAGTGATGTTCATAGTTGTTACTTTACTGAATTATTTTGTTCCATAAAAATAGCTAAGAAATGTCCTTTCAGACCCCTAAACATAACGTACAAAGCACTTACAATAAACACCTTTTAATTATGTAATAGTTATCACCATTGAGTATTTAGTTTTGTACTTGATAAGGCCCCCAGTGGGCAAAACCTTGTATAAATATGTACAAGGTTCTTTGCTACAAATGTCTTTATACCATAGTACCATTCATCAGCTTACACCCATTAGTCCACATTTCTTTAAAAACCTGTGTTGATTTGCATTATCTTTTAAAATGTTTGTTAGCTGTGGTGGGTCTTTCATTTATATCATCTTGTCCTAATTCTTAGGCTCACTTAACAATATCTGCATAGCTCTTGTCCATCCTTGATTTACACGAGCCTGTCTCCACTCTGAGTTTCCACCAACTGATTTATCTGCTCCTGATTTATTATGTTCTAGCTTCCCTTTTTTTTTTTTTTTAAGCCCCCCTATTTAGAATTGGCCCTTTATTTAGTGGAGGCTAATAAAAAGATAATGACAAAAAAAATGAGCAAAATTTTGAAAAAACAGTATAAATTTTATGTTCAAAAAGAACAGTTTGAATTTTATGTTCAGAAAGAACAGATTTTGGAATATTTTATGTTCAGAAAGAACAGTATGAATTTTATGTTCAAAAGACAGTGTTTTTGTCAGAAAGACAGTATGAATTTTATGTTCAAAAAGAACAGTATGAATTTTATGTTCAGAAAGAACAGTTTGAATTTTATGTTCAGAAAGAACAGTTTGAATTTTATGTTCAGAAAGAACAGTTTGAATTTTATGTTCAGAAAGAACAGTATGAATTTTATTCAGAAAGAACAGTATGAATTTTATGTTCAGAAAGAACAGTATGATTTTTATGTTCAGAAAGAACAGTATGAATTTTATGTTCAGAAAGAACAGTATGATTTTTATGTTCAGAAAGAACAGTATGATTTTTATGTTCAGAAAGAACAGTATGATTTTTATGTTCAGAAAGAACAGTATGATTTTTACGTTCAGCAATCCAATTTACACACTTAGACACAACCCAGGTTTTTGTAAACTCGGCCTACCCTGTAGATATAGTAATGCAGTATATATGAAGTTAACACACACACACATCTATATACATATAGAGACTTCAAAGAAAAAACTGACAGCATGCCCATTTACTCAGAACATAGGTCCAATTCTTAAAATGCTGCATTTGAAAGAAATGGAAAATACCACTAGTATGTGCATTCAGCATGCTTTAGATAAAGATCCTAGTTTCAGGTAGGATCCAAGAGTCTCTCTTCTCCCCCCCTCCCCCCCAAAAAAGTGCAGACATAACTGGACTTCATACAGGGGAGTAGCACAAAATTATACACACATCTTTGCATGATTTTATGAAAAAGAACAAGCTACACTTGATGATAATGATGACAGCTATTTTATCATGAAGACAACTCATGAATATTTAAAGAAAGATAAAATACAAGATGTGGTCTTGCAAAAGACATTCGACAGAATGTGACCATGGAGTAATAATTTACAAAACAATGTTTTATGGGCTAACAGACAAAGTAGGGAAGTGGATGTTCAGTTTTCTAACATACAGATAACAGTGATAGTAAAGAAAATTTAATCCAATTACAGTAAATGCATCGTGCACATAAGATGACAAGATGTACAGTAAGTACATCTTGTCATCTTATGTGCATGATTTATGATAACAGAATAAGCATAAATATTACTTTTGTATAAGACACTGAAAAACTACACTTTGATACAAGTAAGATATACCATTGGTCAGTAAAAAATGTACTTTTTTTTTCTCGACAGACCGGCCATATCCCACCGAAACAGGGTGGCTCAAAAGAAAAACAAAAGTTTCTCTTTTTAACTTTGGTAATGTATACAGGAGAAGGGGTTACCAGCCCCTTGCTCCCGGCATATTAGTCACTTCTTACGGCATTCGTGGCTTACAGAGGAAGAATTCTGTTCCGCTTCCCCATGGAGATAAGAGGAAATAAACAAAAACTAGTATGAAAATAGAAGAATAGCCAGAGGGGTGTGTATATACAGTAGTACCTCAGTACTCAAACTTAATTTGTTCCAGAAGGCTGTTCAGGTGCCAATTTGTTCAAGTATACTGAATGAATTTTTCCCATAAGGAATAATGTAAATTGTTCCTTATAGTTGGCTGTTATCACTAATCTTCTTAGGCCCAATGGTGACTTATTTATAGAAATACAGTGGAACCTCGAGTTTTGGTTGCCCCATGTTTTGGCCGTTTTGAGTTTTGGTCACTTTTTTCGCCTACATTTTGTCTTGAGTTTCGAACAGTACCTTGAGTTTCAGCTGCTGTACCAGACCTGTCCGCCTGCCGCACGTCAGTCTGGCTGTTTCTCCTCGAGTGAACATTACCCTGCATATTCATCCAAACATTTCAAAATAATCCATTGTTTTTTGTGCTTGTTGATTGAGTGCTACTGCTACATAATTAACCATGGGCCCAAAAAACTTCCTAGTGCTACCCCTTTGGTAAAGAAAGTAAGAAACACGATAGAATTGAAGAAAGAAATTGTAGAAAAATACGAAAGTGGTATGCATGTGTTCCAGCTTGCCAGGATGTATGGCCAAAACAAATTAACCAACAGTTCCATCCTGGAGATTTGTGCAATGTGGAATAGGGTGCAAGCTTTTACTGAGAAATATCACCCTGAGCAAGCTGAAACAAGCCATATCTGTAACATG